TGTCCCCTCTGGAAACTGTGCAGGTGACCTTATTTGGAAGCAGGGTCTGTGCAGGTGTATTTAATTAAGATCATACTAGAGCAGGATGGGCCCCAAATATAATTCGTGTCCGTGTAAGGAGAGTCAGACACATACGAATACACACACGTGTGCACAGGTAGGAAGCTGGCCACGTGACTGTGGAGGCAGAGATTGGAGTGACGTGGCCACACGCCGAAGATGCCTTTGGTCATCAGGAGAAGAGGTAAGGACTGGCCCTCCCCCAGAGCCATCGGAGGGAGTGACACCGTGGTTTTGGCCTTCTGGCCCCCAGACCGTGAGAGCGTAAACGTCTACTGCTCTAGGCCTGGGGACTTCACCAGCGCAGCCCGGAAGCTCACAGGTGGGACTGTCGGGCCCCACACCCCGGCCCTCGGCTCCCACCCACTCTCCTCACAGGTGGAGTGCTGGGCTCCAGTGACACTGACTGGGTGCTCTCAGAGTGCCCAAGAATGGGCCCAGCGACCCAGCCCAGGCCAAGGCCTAGGCGCCCCTCCCGGCCCACACGGAGGGCTCCCCGGTCATCCCCAGCTTGAATTACACCTGTACTGAGTGACCCCAGACAAGGACTCCGCCCACCCTTGCTCTCCCAGGATGTCTCCTTGGCGAACGAGCCTGCCGCTGTCACAGGGTGACTAGGCCTCCACCCAGTGGGAAACGGAAGGGGCTCCTTACCACGACCGGAGGCACCTCCAGGACCCTGTCCACGTCCTCCAGCGACAGGGGCACATACCACAGGGTGGCCTTGTTGGTCAGCTTCATGATGCCTTCAGAGAAGAGAAGCACATGAGTGAGGGCCGAGGCAGAGGGCAGGGGCACCGGGAACCCGGCAGGTGGCGAGATGCTCCAGCCTGTGACCCCTGACCCCCAATGCTGCCCCTCGCCAGAGGCCGCTGGATAGACTTCAGATCGCCTGGTTTAAGCCTGGGAACTCCCAGGCCATCGGCTTTCTAGCACTTTCTAACACAAGAGGGCTCACACTTGGAGGCACCAAAACCAGGCAACCTCGTCTTTGCAGGTGTATTTACAGAAGGAGCTTCGGTCATTCACACACCCCAGAAGCCTCTGAAGAGCGACCGGACAGAGAAGGGATGTGGGGAGGGGCGGCCCAGCCTCCGGTGGATGCCTCGCTCAGCCACCTCCCAGAGAAGAGGGGGACCAGGCCCCGGGGCGTGCCAGGCTGAGCTTGGGACCCCATTAGCAGATCCAAGTGACATTGACTGCAAACTCAAACTCCCTGCTGAGAGCCTCAAGTCACTGCCAGATCTGCCCACCTGTCTAAAGGCTGCCAAGAGCCCCTCCCACAAGGGGGTGGGAGGACAGGACACAAGGCGGGGGAAGAGGGGGGTGGCTCAAAGACCGAGCACCCAGGCAGGGGGAAGCGGAGACCAGACCACAGCCCAGAGCACACAGCCGTCGAGGCCCATCTCTGCAGCTCAGTGCTCCCCACTTCGGAGGCCTGGATTTGCTGCCGGCCTACTCCCACCTCCAACCCAGAAGCTTCTGAATGGAGTGCTGCGATGGGCGGCGGGCTGATGACCTCCACTCTGGGTGGAAAGGAACAGAACCTTCCTGGGTGCACTGAGCCCGGCCTCAGGGTGGAGTGGGGCTGCCCCACCTGCTGAGAACCACAGGCCAGAAGAAATCGCCTGTCCACAGCCCTCGCGTGTACAGAAGGTGCCTGTGGCCCAGAGAGGTCAAGGCATTTGCCTAGGGTCACACAGCAACCCACCGCCATTCCAAGTACAGACCCGGGCCTCCTGGGGAGCGTGTGCAAGGATGCTTGTAAAAAGTTGCCTCTTCAACATGGAAGCGTCCCAAAGCAGAGGAACACAGTGAAACGGGGGAAGAGAAAGTGGGAAAGGCGGGGCGCAGCCCAGTGATCCCCAAAAGCCCAAGGTGAACCCGGAGCCTCAGCTTCCTCCCCCCGGGGACCAAGCCCTGGGGGTCAATTAGAAACATGGCACCATCGGGACAACAGGCTCCCCACGCTCGGGAACCACAGGCAGAGACGGAAAAATATCTTCACTGCACTTTGACTGAAAGCGAATCTGACAACCTGCTTTTGGGAATAAAGATTTCCTGTTTGACTCAGCGAGAGCCAGCCTGACAAGCTGGTTTCCATGGAAACCCCGAGTGGCCCTCCTCTAGACCTAAATGAACGCCATGGAGCAAACGAGGCAAAACGTACTAATTGTACGTTCTCTATCTTTTAATAAAACCATCAAAAGATAACCGCAGGACTAAAAATATCTGTTTTACAATCTTAAGACGGCCCAGCTCTTCTCTGGAGCCATCTGCAGCCATCACGTCCCAGTTAGCTTAATATTTTGACAGGTGCCGGAGATGAACGAGGCGTGTCAAAGGCGTAAAGGCTGTTGTCTGCTGGGCGTGTGCTTGCTCAACCGCCTGACAGGGAACGCAGCCGCGGTGGAAGGGGACACGCCAAACAGGGGATCCCCGCCTCCGGGGTCGAGAAACGCGAAGACATCACTCGAACAGCTCCGTGGTTCAGCCTTGCGGGCTCCCCACCTGTTAGCTCACCTGCCTGCCCAGCCAGCGTACAGGGGGCCACTGGCCAGCTGCCACTCTGGGCATTGGGAGAGCCGCGGTGGCTAAGGCAGCCATGAGCCCTGCCCTCGGGGCGCTCACATGCGAGGCGACACGTGGGCAGGAGACACGTCAAGACAGGAGGCCTTGCGACCCAAGGTCCCAGGATAGTAGATTCAAGCAGATCCAGACGTGGAAAGACAAGAGGGAGGACGACAGAGAGACAGACGCAGAGAGAGGGGGGCACGGAGCGGGGGGCCCCGGGGTGAGATGACCAAGACGTGGAGAAAAGCCACAGCCCTTGCCTCACTGTCCCCGCCCTGAGGTACGGGGAGGCTGGGGTCTGGCCCCGCTTCGGGAAGCTGAGCAGCGCCGGCCTGTCCCCGGCCTCGCTGAGCCCTGAGCTCATGTGCAGGACGGGGTAACAGCACCTGCCCCACCGTCCCGAGGGCGGACACCTGCAGCAGTGCACCTGGCTGGTCCCTCGTCGTGGGGCAGGTCAGGTTCCGTGCGCCCGCCTACAGGGAAGGAGCGAGGCCGGGGCACGGCCTGTCATGTTGCCCACACTGGCCCTGGGCAAGAGCCTCCTGCCTCTCTGTCCACTTCTGTCCCCAGCAGGACCCTTGAGAAAATGAGTATGTCATTCTCAACGAAACCATCAGCTTCCCACTGTGCTCACTGCGGAAGCTCCATTCACTCCTGCACTCGCCAACGATTCGATCCACTGCTACGTGTCAACACCACGCGCCAGGCTGCCAAGAAGAGGAAGCCTCGATCCTTCCCCTCAGAAGGTCATGACCTGCACTAGAGAGCTCTGGGGACGTCCTGTGCGACATGAGGTGTGCAGCAGCATCCCTGGGCACTACCCACTGGGGGCCAGTAGCACTGCCCCAACTGTGACCACCAAATATGTCCCCCTGAGAACCGCCATGCTGGGGGCTGAGCTGGGACCCCAGCGTCCCTATGATGCTGTTGCAGAGATGCACGGCACATGTCTGAGGAGGTGACGTGGCAGTGGGCACCAAGCTTGGGGACAACGGGAGCTGGGCAGAGGCTCCCACGAGGCCTGAGAGGCTTTCCCGGGCACCCAGTGCCAGGAGTGGGCCCATCCTGATAGACTGCCCGGCTGGCCTGTGCCTTCTGCGCACCCTCCCAGCTGATGACGCACTGGGGACTCTTGCGCTCCCTTAAGTTAAGGCTCAGCGTGGCCTGCAGGGGCCGCTGACCGCCCCCATTCGCTCCCAGAGGCGGGCACCTCCAAACCTGCCCCAACCCCGCACCCAGGGAGGTGCAAACCCTTTCTCCCGTCCCAAGCGCCTGACGGGCTCGGGACCAGGGGCAGGCAGTGGGGTCCCTACGGGGCTGCGGCCTCTCATGTGCCAGAAGGGGGGCCTCGATGACAGGAATCTGCAAAGCCGGCCCCACCCTCACTTGTGAAGTCGCCAATTCCCAGATGCTGGAAACCACGACAAGACATCACTGCTACAGCTGCCTTCGACACGCAGGCACGGGGGTCCAAAGGGGCAAAGTGCAGCACCTCCCCTTCTGTCAGAGGGAAGGTCAACCCCCAGCACAGCCCGGGGGGGCGAGGGTGGGCCACCCATGGGTGGGACAAACTGCAGGTGGAGGGAGGAATGACAGGAACCCCAAGACCCTGATGTGGGAGGACAGCGCCTGAGCGCCACTTTCCATGCCATAGCCCAAGACCTGCAGCAAAAGGTGTCTCTGATGGCGAGGCTGCGTGCTATGCGGGGCCCGGGCCACAGACATAGGAGCGCTGACCGCTCCCCCCCGCCAGGCCTCTGCTCAGCTAATGTGTTCACTGTGCTGCAGCCAGACCTGCTGAGGTCACCGGAACGTTCCGGGCGGGTAACTGTACTCCTGGCCTCTGCAGCAGAAGCCTGGATCCCTTTACGGAGCACTGTGCACGGAGGAAGGTGTGAGACCCATCCGCTCTTTCCACAAGCAGTGTGGATGCTCCCACGCATGGGGGGGTGGTCTGGGACGGGAGGTGGGCAGCAAGGGACAAAGGAGCCTGCCTTCCTCGGCAGCAACCAGGTTATAAAAAGCCAGCACCAGGAAACTGGAGCCATACTCCCCTGCAGTGCCCAGTGGGAGGACGAAAAAGGGGTTTCCATGGTTACCACGCCAAGGAAGAGAAAATTCAGATCAAACTGGAGTCAAAGGTTCGCACAGTGAGCTTCAGCCTGAGCCTGGTTTTTGGGCGGGGGGAGGGGGGAAGGGGGACAC